CAAACCAAGGTTGCCCCTGGAAGCTGCTTTCATTGCAGGGCCTGACAAGGTGACAGTCAAAATGTCCTCTCTTTTCTTGAAAGTGTGAGTCATTCCCTAAAAGGAATGTTAGAATGAGGAGTAGGGTTAGATGTTGGGTTTGGAGCTGCAGATCTTGAAGAGCATAAATTACTGCCAGCCATATTTGAAGACACCTTAATTTCTGTTCTACTGGAGGGCACATATGATGATCAATGTGCATGAAAATCCATATTCATTACCACATGCTGCTGCCCAAGGACTTTAGGAGACTGGGCTCCATAGTTATCCATAACATCCATAGGTAACTGTTAGGGCTAGGTTAATAATCCAAATATTGAGGAACCAGTATTGTCACTGCAAGCTGCACAGCCCTCAGTGTTAGGAATATGGATGATGTCAATAAGGGGCTATTGTTCATGGTGGGATTTTTGTTGTTTCAGACATGAGTGTCACAATTAAAGTAGGAATAGGAACAGACCTTGGAAATCTAAAGCCTTAAAGACTGAGTGGTTCCCAAAGTTGTGAAAACTGTGCAGCATATTGGTATCACTAATGATTTGCTCTGTCTTTCCATACAATGTGTGGATTCTGTGTTTATGGTCTGTTTTGCTGAAGATTTGGACCTTCCTTGTAGTTATGGGTGTTTTAGGTAAAGTATCAGAATCTGTTGAGTTCTGAGACGGATTTATTCATGCAGCTGAACTTCCCATTGAATGTGAATGAGCACTAGCACTAAGCTAACACCTTGCATTCCACTACAGGACTAGTTCCCTTCACAGAGCTGCCTTAGGGCCCATGTAAATAAGGATATTGTCTGCCCTAGTGTTGGAGGTAAGATCAGAAAATTTAAGACTACACCTGTGTCAGTCAATAAAATGGAGTCAAGGCAATCATGCCCTATCCATATTATATTGTGCTTAAATGAGGTCCTCTTAGGGGCTCACAGTGTCACCTGTGGCCTTTGAGAGTCTTTTCTTTCCTAGAGGCACTGTTTCAAAAATTGTGCAAGGGCTGTGTTTCAGCCCATCAAACTGCTGCTTTCATACCCAGAGGCTGTGGTGCAATGCATGTCCTAGACTGTTACACGAGGAGTGGTTGTGAAGTGTTGGAGGGTGCAAAGCCTGTTGCAGTAAAGCTGGGGCTGGGGACAAACTTGTGTAGTTTTATCCATTCTGCTTAAGGGGAATAATCCTTTGCTCTCACTGCCTTGAAATCATGCCTGACCAGTGCATATACAGACAGAGGCCCAAATTTGAAATTATTCCACAGAGTCACCACTAATAGGCTAAATACACCAGGTACAGGGTTAAAATCCTTGCCCTGGTACTAATTATTTTTATTTTTATTTTTATTTTTATTTTTATTTTTATTTTTATTTTTATTTGCAGGGCAGATGTAGACTGGCAATGAATGCTGCAGTTCCACAGTCTTGAGTGGCAGCCTGGCATCAACAGGGAAAATGTTCTTGCCCATTATAAAACAGTTGGAGTCCTTCCTGTGGTTATTATGGTAAAAGATAAGATTTGAGCTGCTGCTAGCACATGGAAATCTAAATCTAAAAGAAATTCAGTTACTGCTGGCTTCTTCTGAACTGGCAGCTTGACACAGATAAGAGACAGTTGTTTGTGTGGTCTTTTCCTGTACACAGAGGTCATTTGGTTTAAATTAACATAACATTTTTGTTATGTTATGGAACAACAGTTCCAAGTATTGTTTTAATGCTGAATGTTAAAGGGCCAACTTGCACCAGCAGGTATCAGTGTTGCATATTTTTTTACTATGAGCCAATTGCTCACTTGTGTATCAGGGCAGAGTTAAGAGTTGAATTGAAACTTGAAGATATAAACTTTGAATATTGCTGGGAGTATGGACCTTAGCAGAGCTCTGCTCTCTATAGGTGCCAGTGCCATATACTCTTTTCAGTTGGTGTGAACACATCCTTGGCCTTAACATTAGCATTTGAGAAATCCAAGTTTCAAGCAAGTATATTTGCTGGATGGTCTGGGGTTTCAGCTTAGATAGCAATATTCACTAGTGCTTCTTATGCTTCTGGGTAGAATTGCAACTACATTTAATATCAGAGCTTTGGACGCCAAAGGGTCCCATGGTGTTGGGAAGGCTGGTGTCTGCAGTGGACAGTGCCTCTCTTGTCCTGACAGTAGAGATGGGTCCCCTCAACACAATTAGATAAAGGTGTGGTTTGGCAATCCAAGCTTTCCAGAGCCAAATTTCAACTTGAGCACAGTAGGGTCTGCAAAGTTTGGAAAAAGGACAGTGGGAACTGCAAGAAGCACTATTAATTTTTTGTTGTTGTTCACTGTAGTAACAGGGGTTGTAAATAAGATTAGTTTGAGGACTGACATTAAAATCAGTCTATGAGAATCTAAGTCTTGAAAATATCAGGATATTTCTGTTTTGGAGAGCCTGCCAAATTATGAAGAAATTTATGTCAATATGGTCCAACTGTACACAAAAGGAGCATGTTATAATGTAAAAGGCCCTATCACTTTATTTTGCAGTGTACTAGGGCATCTGCTAGAATCCTGCACAGACATGCTAGCTGGGACTATAAAACCCCACTGCTTTTTATCCCAGCATCCTGCAAAGACAGGACAGAATTCAACTGCAGCAGTCTTATTAAATGAATGTGCTATCCAACTTCCATGCCTTGAAATAGGCTACATGTTATTTACTTTTCCATTTCAATAAACACAGTAAATATATGTATACTGAAAGAATGCAACAAGTGCTGTCACAGCAAGAAAGGGAGAGAGCATACATTTTCACTGTCAGAGTTGTTTTTGTATAAACACTAACCTTAGTGACAATCTTGTGGAACAGCATGTTGTGACTTTCAAAAGCAAAGAAGGTTTTGCTCTCCTCCTGCACCACCACAGACTCATGCAAGCAGCATCCTCCCACTCCCACGTCTCTTACAAAGCTTTTCAACCTGCCTCTCTCTTTTCAGTAGGCTCTGCTTTCAGTATACTGTCAAAAAGGGAAAATCTCCATTCTAGGACTCTTTGAAATGGGTTTAACCGAAAAAAACCAAACTGATTTGATATAAGTTTGGCATTTTGTGAGCTAAGAGGTCAGGTGTATGGTAATCAAAATAAAATAAATACTAAATGTTTTGTATGACCCTATTTGCAGAGTGAAAGTTATAAAAGACGACCAGTAATGTTTTTTGTGAAAAGAGCATTTAAAAATAAAAACTACTTTTTTTTCCTACTTAAATCCCCTTTTCCCCAGGCACTTCCCTGGGACAAGATGGGGAGAGATGCTGGTGTTCTCTTTCTCTACAGATAAAAGTGAGTAGCAAAGCAGTAGGTCACAGTCACAAGGAGAAATTTGACCCTGTGGTTTGCTGCTGCCCTTGGTCCAAGAGAGCCTGATGCCCTGGTGCTTTGTGTCTTGGAAAATGTTAGTTGCTTACTTATTACGAGGGAATGGAAAGGCCATCTTTTATCACTAGAAGTTAGTGTTTTATTCCATAGAAATTTTTTTTGCTGTTGATTTTAATTAGTATGATAGACAGTTTGGAGTACTTTCAAGTGTGTATGCTTCCCTATCAAAAAGCCTTTACTTTTGAAGAGGGCAATCTACAGAATAAGGTAAGTGCATGCCCCAGGCTCCTCTCCCTCAGTAACCTGCATTCACCAATTTCAATACCTCCTATCTTTATGGACTATTCAGGGAAGCTGCAAATAGCAGAAGTTGATGTGCAAAAGAAAATGAGGCTGAAATATTATGCTTTCACACACTTTTTGGCACCATCATAGGCATCCTTGACTGGCTGAGTGTGTAGTTGATGGGTAGGGCGTTAGAAATCAAATGCATATTACATGGTGTAGTTCTCCAAAGAAAAATCATCACTTTTAACATATGGTGTGGCACAAGCAAATCTGTTTTCTCTTTTCTTGGTGAATAAAAAACCCACAAAGTCGTTTGTATGGCCATATATCCATCACAACACAGAGTGTCGAAATCCCAATACTATGTCAATTTGAATACGAGTATCACACTACCCCGTGTGACCTACAGCGCCAGCCGCTTTCTAAAGAAGGGCAGTTAACCACAATTCTATTTTCTTCAAGGCTATAAAATACCCACCCACGCACACCCAGCACGTGCACAAACAAAAAGCAGTGATATTTTGTTTCAGCCGTGCACGGTGGCAGCACGGCATCCATCTCGGCAGCCCCGGATTTCACCTGCGCCGAGGCTCCCTGCTCTTCCTCCTCTTCCCCCTCCCGCTGTCTCTCCACCGCCCGGTCTCCCTGCAGGGGACACCGAGCCTTGCCCCGGGGATTCAGGGCCGGTCCCTCCCGCCCCGCCCCGCGGGAGCCGGGCAGGTGAGCGGGATCCGCCCGGCCCCGGGGCTGGCCGGGCCGCCGCTCCGCCCACGGGGGCGAGCCGCGGGGCCGGCCGGCACCTGCGGCCGCACAGCCCCGCACCGCCCCGCACAGCCGCCCTCCCCGCCGCGCCGGGGCTCCGCGGGGCAGGAGCGCGCTCCCGCAGGTCAGTGTCGCCTCCCGTACCTGTTGCGCAGGGAGCCGGCGGGGCGGGGAGAGGAGGGAAGGAGGCGGGTGGGGAAGCGCAGGAGCCCCAGGACGCGCCGGGTTCCCGGCCTCGTCCCGCGGGGAGGCAGCAGCCCCAAGGTAGGGCCTCGGCTCTGCTTCTGGGTATGGAGGGTGGTGAGTGCGGGGAGCGCGTCCCGCGGCCCGGCTCCGGGGCGTCATTTACCTGAGGCTGTGCGAGCCGCGCACGGAGGCGGGCGGCGCTTCCCAGCCGCCCGACGGGGCTCAGGCCGCTCCCCCCGTGCCCGCCCGGCCGCCGGCGCAGGACCCGTCCCTCCCCGGGCGCCGGGCACGGTCCCACGGGGCTGGGGAAGAGGGGTCCCGGCGCCGGCCGAGCGGGGAGGCGGCGTGCCCGGCTGCCAACCCGCCGTCGCCCTCTTCCCCCCGCAGGAGCCCGAGATGGCGGACAGCGCAGCGGCCACCGCCGCTCCTCGGGCCGGCGTCAAGGGCTCGGCGGGACCCTGGTGGAAATCGCTGACCAGCAAGAAGAAGCACAAGGAAGCGGCGGTAGCCCCGCCGCACGCCGTCGCCAGCGAGACCCCCGCCGACACCCCCAGCCCCGACGGCCGGGAGGAGCAGCCCCCTCCCTTCGGCAGCGGCGACGCCGCGGGAACCGGAGTCGGCAACCGGCGGAGCCTCCGAGTGTCCCACTCGGGCCGCTTCAAGGAGCGGCGGAAGGTGCGCACCTCGCTGTTGGCCGACAGCCCCGAGGTCTTCGACGGCGGCGGCGCCCCAGGCCACGCCGCCCAAGGGGCCGAGTAGCCCAGGAGGGCCTTGCCCAGGAGCTGCCACTGGATGGGTGGCCGGAGAACTGGCGGGACAGGCAGCCGGAGTCAGTGACTGCCCCACAGCTGGGCTTGGACCCATGGGTGACTCGTAGGCAGCGGCCTCACAAACGCTGACCGGACACTGCCGGGAGAGGGAATCTCGTGCTGTGTTAGGTGAACACGTCCAATACCAAACCCCCGGATGACGGGACGATGTGATTGTCTTTTTAAAAAAACACAAATAAACACCCCACTCGCTGTACTGTGGTGAGCGGACTCAAAGGTGCTATCCTAAGGCCGATGGTGGAGCCTCTGAACCTTCCTGCAGCCCTTGCCAGGAGCCAACGTGCTGACTCTGAGGCCTGTGACCTAGCTCCTTCCGGCTCTCAAGCCGAGGAGGTGCTTTGCTGCCTTCGTCTCACAAGCTGTCTTATCAAAGGAAGGGGGGAACAAAGTGCTCTTATGTAATTTCAGGGCCGAGGACCTCCGGCGGTGCCGAAAGTGTGCTTGTCCTGCCATTAGCCACAAACACATCCTCCGTCCTCCACGGGGGGTCAAAAGAGAGGTGTTGTGAGGAGCAGGCTCTTGCCTTTGCCCATGTCCCACATCACATCACATTTACATGTGGAAAAGGCAGGACCGTGCTGGTACTCTCCCTCTTCTTACTGTGCGATACTAAGCAGGTGTTTCAGAGACTGGTCCCTCCTAGTTCTGCTACAGAGGGAGGCCCATGTTGTCTAGCAATTCACACTATTTACCCAGGGGATACATGATTTTTGCATAATTGGTGTTAACTGGCATAATGAAGCTCCAATGAAGAAATTATGTGATAAGATGTAAACATGCTTCTGGGAGATGAGCCCAGCCCTGGAGAGCACAAGCAGGGTTGCAGTTCTAGTGTGGAAATAGGCTTGGGCACCACTGGAAGTGTTTACTCTTTACCACATCTGAGGCTTTTGAAGCAAGGTTAAATGTCCCAGGATTTCTTCTGATGGTGAGATGATGTGCTTTCACTCGAGTAGTTACCTGCTCCCTCTAAGAGCTCTCGGATTTTTGGACAAATACAAGCCAGATTTGTACTGGTGTTGTGCCTTACAGAGCAAAATCAGCTAAAATACTTGGCAATTACACATTTCTTGATAGTAGGTGATGTAGCAACAACTGACTTATTTATTTTAAATAAGCAATATACTTTATATTGTTAAGATGATTTTAGACTTTTTCTGAATACGAGATACTACATAGTGGCAGGCACTGAAAATGACTTTCTAACAGTCAAGTATTATGCAGTTATGATTTTGGTTAGTTGTAATTAATCATTTGAAGTCAATTAAAAATAAAAAGTGACTGGAAATGAAATAAGATCTGAGTTCCAGTTGAAAATATGAATTAAACCAGCCACTGACAATCAAAATGAAATGTTGCACCAGATTCTGGGCAAGTGCCCCATGGTTCAATGGGCACAATAATATGTAGTGAACCTTGAAAGCTCCTGTGCAATAAACTCGGACAACGTAGCTGCTGAGGTGCTCACTGGTCATTCACTCCTTCAGACTCTGGAACCCAAGGACAAAGGGACTGTAGCATCAAATCTATTTCCATGAAAGCTTTCTTTTTTTTTTCCACCCAGTGTGTAGATACATGTTTTAGTTTTTTTTATTTCATTTAGTAAAACCACAAAGTACTGGATTTGGACTGCCTGTTTATGTTGCTGACTCCATGCAAAGATCTGACCAAGTAAAGATCTGGGGTGGGTGAGGGGAGCTCTTTAAACTTTCTCCTCAAAAGTGCTTTTCCTACAGAAGGCCCCTTCAGTCAAGGGACATCTGAAATCCTTCTCATGAGAAGAAGTAGTCAGAGCAAACCTAGTCTTGGAAACAGGGGGATGAGAGAGAAGGGGGAAAGTTTAAAAGCTGGAAACTGAGAGTTGGATTAAGAAGAACCCAATTCCAGCTACAGTTAACCCAGGGTGGGGGTGGGGGCAAGGAGGCAGAAAGGGGTGGCTTTGCTGCCAGGGTTGTCATACTACTTTTGGTGGGCAAACTGCTCATGTTTATTACAGGCAGAAATAGTCTGCTGTGTTTATGTTTTCTAAGGTCTAAAGAAACGTTTTTGTATGTCTGTGTGCCCAAAATGGAAGAACAAGTAAGCAGAAATTCCACTGATGCATTTCTCAACTCCTGCATCTGGTTTGGTGTGAGTTCTGTGAGGGTCAGATCCTCAGAACTAGCCAGAGGCTGGAGAATTAATGCAGACTAGTGTTTTATATTAATGTTTTTCTGCATTTTTAATCCTTAAACTGTTGTGAAAATACACTTTCCTCCTCTCTTCTGTACCTCAAAGCTGCCTTGTTTTACACTGAACCTCTGTTTGCCTTTTGGAAATGCCTCAGGTTTGTTAGCTGCAAGTCTTTACTTAGACTCAAGAAATATCCAGTTTGGGTTTTATTTGAGAAGTCTGGTGTGCTGTTCAGATGGGTGCTGCTAAGATTCAATATCAATAGTGGCTAATATGTGACTAAATATTAGCCACATCTTAATCCTTGAATACGATACTTTCATCTTGGAAATTCGGTCAAAATACAAAGTCAATAAATGCACGCAAAATACCTCACAGCGCTCCTCCATCTTTATCCTGACCTTGAGCTGTGGGAAGGAGATGTAATTCTATCTTCCTGCTCAGTCAAATCCTTGCTTCAATGAATGTGATAGCAGCCACTGAAAAACTAGATCCATGAGAAAATGGGCTGGCTGCCTCGTCTCACTTTCCCTGCCCAGCAGTACCTGCAGCTTAGTGCTCACCCACACCAGGGCCAGGAGCAGGGAGAAGGCCTCTTGTTTCTCAGCCAGAGCCTCAGATAAAGCTTAAGTAATCTGTACACATGTAAATTAATTAAGCTGATACAGAACAAAAAAAAATGGTATTTTATGGAGCACCTGAATTACTGTTTTTAACCATTGAAGTGGAAATAGTTTCTTATGTATTGGACAGTACTTGCTCTGTTATAACAATAGTGCATTTCTGGGCATTGGATTATTAAAAGGCAGTTTGCACTCTTAGTGTCAGTATTTTTCTCATCTTTATAGAGATCATGGATCAGAAAGTAAGCTGAGGAAATAGGCTGACTGAGAAAGTACTTACTGTATATTTTTAAAAGTAAACAGTGGCATTGACAAAACAAATGGAAATAAGCAGATGAGGTGAGCCTCAGCTATGTCAGTTATAGTGCAATTTTCTTAATATTATCGCAGATACTAAGGATTGCTGGTTTGGGGCAAAAAAAAAAAAAAGAAATAGCAAATAGAATGAACTTTTGAAATAAACTTGCAAAGTATATGCTTGCTTATTCCTACTCTTGCCAAAACTAAAAATAAATCTTTGAGTGGTTGCCTGGTGAATCATTCCCTGCTATTGTAGGTTGGTCAGTCTGGGCTTCAACAAAGATTATAGGGAGCACCTGCAGAAAATGATCCTAAATTGGAAACGCTGGAATAAATGCCTTGAAAGCCTCAAGACTTCTAACCTCAGATGTTATGTCAGGGTATGACTTAAACTGAACTGGAAGAATGGAGAAGGGGACCTTACTGTTTGGAGGATTGTTATTTTTTTTTAGCAGGAGAAAGGGGTTGTAGGGGTTTTTTGTTTGGTTTGATTTTGATTTTTCTGTTTGTTTGTTTTGTTTTGTTTTGGTGGGTTTTTTTTTTGGTTTTTTTTTTTGTTTGTGGTGGTGGTGGTATATTTTTTACTTTGTTGGTTTTTTTTGTTCTCTTTTCACTGTAATGGCACCAGTGATAATTTTATATTTAAAATATCAAGTGTCTTGTCCCTGAGCAGGATAACCTCATGTGAAGGCTAAAATCTGAAGGACAGCACTCCTGGCCTTGGCCTGGCCAGTGCAGCTGGATGCTTGGCCTTAAAGACCATGTTTAATTTGGCTCATTAAACAGCTGATATCAGAAGACAAGCTGTTTCAAATGCAGGCACAAACTGGAAGCTCATTTTGCTGCCTCTTGGGACTCTATCTGGTAGGACAAAACAAAGAAACCCAAAACTGGTATTTTCTAAGATGTCTTTTAAAAGCTGGGGCAAGAGCAGGTTGGTTGTAGAATAATATTTGAGACCATAAAATTACACTGTTTTGAAAAGCAAACCTTTCCTCTTCATCTCTAATTTATTGTAAATAAGATGGGAAACCTGCTGGCTCTGATTTTTCATTTCAGAATACAACAAAAGAGACAAAGTTGCTCAGTTTTATAGACACCAGAAGTAGTGAAGTAGTTTATCAATTTTATCCTTAATGACACATCTGAAATTCACAAGTAGCTCTAAGAAACAGTATTTGAATGTAGTCTTCAACTAAAGCATATTGATTAGCAGCTGCAGCTTATGAATTTGATTTACTGCCCGTTTTATCTAGATAAAGCAATATAACATCAGATAATACATGTTTTGGGGACAGCAAGTGGCTTTCCATTTTAGCTATAAGGCATGATTTTAACAAAAAAATCTACCCTGGTGAGTAATCCTCATCGGGTCTAAACATCATGTTTCTTGTGAGTAAAATGAGATAGATTGGTTCTTTTCTGAGTATTAGTTACCAGACTATCAGATGTTTTGGAATATGGGAAATAAGCTTGATTCTCAGACACAAGCCTGTGCGTGATGCGAATCTCCTGCTGCCTGTTTGCAGTGTCTCAGGTCTTTCTCCTCATCCAAAGTTATTGTTCATTGTGTTAGTTCCTTTTACATAAGGAGATAAAAAGCTTTACTCTCCCCATTACTGAAAATAAGAACCATACCTTTGAATGCCTGTTGAAGTGAAAAATTAGAGATAGTGTGCACTTGAACTTTGGTGACTCACCTTTTTTTTTCCCACTGCTGACTTAAGTTCATTTTGCTTTCCGGTCTTTGTTTTATCCTCAGTCTGTAAATGTTTGAGCAGATAAACCATTCACTGATCTCTCAAGAGCTTCTCAGTGACAGGAGGGTGGGCAGCACTTCAGTGGCCAAGGGAAAGGGAAAAGTTAAAATAGATCTGTTTCTGGGTTCTTTCCCACTGCATTTTATGAACAGGAGCAGAACCAAGCCTTAGTCTTGTTTCTGGAACTATGACTGCCTGGAAAACAGAAAAAGCCTCGTAGTCTGTGCATTCTTGGTTGTGTTTATCTTGGCATGTGCTTTCAGTGAC